CACCGAGTCTGCCTTGGCGGGGATGAAGCCCAGCAGGAAGACATTGCGGCAGCCACAGTTGTAGCACTCCAGCACTGTTTCCCCCAGAGGGCCATCTTTATGCAGGGTCACCTCCTTGGACTTTGCTCTTACCAGGTGGTTCACAATGTGGCTAAAAGTGAAGAGAAGGACAATTAATACAATGCAATGCAATGTAAAAGTGTATGGTCCTGTATACAGGGAGGATGGTAAAGACCAGCAGCAGAATCAATACAACATGACTTTTTTCCATTTTATTGGGACTGAAATAAACCATGTTTGCCTAAGAATCCAGTAGTTTCTAGGACATATAATGAAAACCTATGATCCAAAGAATCTTAAGAGGTAATGACCAGCTACACTGACTTTAAGTGGGTGTAACCATGTTCACGTTGTTACCATCATTTCTTCATTGTTACTGGTCATTACTGTTCATTTAATGTATAAACCTTACCACACAGAAGAGGAAACCAGGTGATCATACACAATATTTCTCAGATGTGAGGATTCTGGTCAGTGTTTCCTGGTGCTGTGTACCCTTCTGGTTTATTGCAAAGCTGATTCAGGTTTAATCACAAACATTAAGCTACTTTCTTTAAATTAAGGTTTCAAAGAAAAATACATCTTTATTTTAAACTTGAATTGCTAATTATTAGTCTAAGTGGGCCTTGAAAGACAGTAAACATTTCTTTTAAATTAAGTTTTTATCTCCCTAACCAAAAAAAAATAAAAATAAAATAAATAAATCACTATGCTTTCCTAGCAGGAGCTTCTGAACACAATAAAGACAAAGTCACTATGCACTAAACTCTTGTCATGAGAATACTGTACTTGTAAAACTATTCTCTCCTAGTTCATTTAGCCAAGTTCACCAGCAGGGGTGTCAGTAAAAAGCCAATAAGTCAAAGTATCTTACCTGCCAGATGTGTTTCCACGACCATTGCAAAACCACTTTTTGCTGGTGTTGCAGTAGACCACGCAGGCTGGATCATGAATCCCACAGTAACTAAAATAGAAAAGATTCAAAATTATAAAGAAACACAAAACATTACCAATAAGAGCATGCACCATGCTCAGAGGACACAATGTCAGAAATTACACACAAAACTCTTGTGAGAAACTGACTCATTTTGAATTATAATGCAAATTCTCTTGCCTCACAAACCTGCATTTTACTAGTTAAATTCAAATCACAGTGATCATCAGTCTATCTTCCCCCTGTCTTTTTTGTGATTAAACTAGTTTAAATGACTTAGAGATTGTTTGAATATGCATGTAAATGTCAACTATTCAGAAAATGGTCAGTGTTGTGAGAATCTCACAGCTTTAAAGAAAGCCAAAATTGTCTTTCCTGAGGAGATTATGTACCAACACTAAACAGTATGTTGCTGATGGGTATCACAGTTTATATGAAAATAACAGATAGAAGAGGGTGGCAAGTTCATAAAGAAAACTCAGGCTCTGACTTTATGTCCAACAGACTTTGTATTCAATGCCAATCTTCAGGAAAACATCTAAAGTTTCTACGGATCTGATGCTGATGTATTGAGTGATAAATCACTTTCTATAGAAACAAACTGAGTAATGATCTTAATGGGCAACTGATAATGTCTGGGATGCCTGACATACTCAGCTAGACTTATTTGGATCAGCCCAACAAATGGTTGACATCCAGCTCGTTAGTTACGACAGCATATGAGCTCTGAGTATGAGAGAGCAGTGCTTGGCATGATGTAAAAATAATATTGACTGCTGACGCCAGACATGATATATGAGGTTCTGAAAAGTTACATTAAGTGTCATCTTAAGTGAGTCAAGAAGCATGTGTTGCCCACCAGGGACAGTATCAAGTGAACAGGGTGGACAGAAACCAGCACAGCGACTACAGATATGTTCAATCAGTGGCTGACGCTGAGAGAAAATATCTACTGTGATTATGGGCCAATTGAATCATTTTATATTGCTTCACATGTGAAAGGTAATATATATTTTTTACAGCAACTTTTATTTTAAAATGTACTTCTGCACTAGTTATTCACTGATCTAAAATATATTTTCAGACATCAATGTCAACATAAAACGCATGTGGACAGGGCACCATTACCCACTGATGTAAAAAGTATGTAGTTATCAATATCAGCAAACATCCAAAAAGACTCTACATGCAATAAGAATGATTGGAAATTAAATTAATTCATCACAAAGGATTATTTCATCCCTGATTCCAGCCAGTGCACCAGTCATATTAGTCTGGCCCTTTACCTGCAGGCATGTACAGGAAGGTCCTTGGTATAGTAGGTGTCTTCCTCATCTTCCTCAAAGTTCAACTCTGCCAGCAACTGACTGGCTTTTACCACCGGGTCGTCTCCATTCTGCAGTACCCCGTCAGGACCATTAACCTGGGGAGACCATTATAAATATTATTTGGGACTTTATGTGGCATAAACTAATACTGAAGGATCACAGTCAATCGATAGTACAAAAAGTGGACAGTCAGTCAGATAAAACCTCATGTGAGCATGTAATTGTAGATAGTCACGTCAAAAAAACTGTTTGCTGGCAGAAATATCACACTGTATGTGTGAGTATTTGAGAGTTGTCTGCCATACTGATAAATCCATGATATTCTTTGTTTGCATTGTAATAAAGTCCTCAATGACATGCTAGCTGTGCCAGCACGCTAACCGCGCAAGCTAGTTAGCTAGCATGCTAGCCAATTACCACGTTAAAAGCACGCTAACCGATAGAAAGCGTCATCATGCTAACCGGAGGTAGCCAGCGATGTTGTTAGCTAACGTTACCTAATTCATATTTGGTCAACAAAGTACAAAACATATTCTGACACCGAACTGCAATGAATAACCACAAGCACCTGGTTGTCTAGTTGGCTCTGCGTCTGGCCTTGGGTCTGCGTCTGGCTCGGCAGGGTAAAATCGGTGAAGTCGTACTCGGAGCCCTGGGTGTCCGCTCCCAGCAGCTCGGCTTCCTCGGTATCCAGGAACGTTAGGGTCTGTGAGCTCGGCCCGTACGCCTCGACACTCATGATTTTACCTTCTTATTAACGTTATGTTACCAGTTTCCGAGAAATATCCCACAGACTGTTGCTTTTGCAGGACAAAATGAATAATCGAGACAGACTATTGATGAGAAAATGACTAACACTGGTAGCGTGAGAAAGAGACACCGAGCCTCGATTACGGCTGCGTTCCGTTTGTCACCTCCCCCTCTCGTTTCCTATTCTTGGTCACTACCACTTGTCTCCTACGGGAAGTCATATACAGAGAGGGAAGGAAAAGGAACAAGGAGGCATATCTGAGCAGAAATGGGATAACTGATTGCATTTATGGTAACAAAATTGTGTAGCCAGAAGAAATAAAGTTGCAACAAATGTGGGAGTGGAGTCAAAGAGATCTGTCATCTGCATATGATGTTCACATGTTAAAAGCACATCCCAAAACAGAATAAGACGAGATATATTATAAAATTAATATTTATAACATAATGAATGCACCAGAAATTATAGTACATAACCTATACTAAGTAATGACGTTTATGGCAAATAACATGTACAGGTATGTGCCAAAAAATTAGAATATCGAGGAAAAGTCCATTTATTTCAATAATTTGTTTCAAAAAGTGAAACTTGTATGTTATATTAGTTCACTACACACAAAGTGAAATATTTCAAGCCTTTATTTGTTTCAATTTTGATGATTATGGATTAAAGACAAAAAAACCCAAATCCAGTATTTCACAAAATTAGAATATTTCATGTGACCAATAAAAAAAAGGATCTTAAACACATGTTGGCCTTCTGAAAAGTGTGTTAATGTACTGTATTATGTCCTCAGTACTTTGTTGGGCCTCCTTTTGCA